CTTATCTGTATGTCAAGTTCTTTTCCCTGCTTGGGAAGTTTTCTCCCATCACTTCTGTGAACATTTTTTTTTATGTTGTCTGCACTCTCTGCTGTTATTTCATTAACTCTGATCAGTCTTATGTTATTCTTCTTTGCATCATCTAGCAGCTGGTGGATTGATTTCTCGTGATCCCTTCCTCTTTTAAAGAATTTTTTTTTCCTGGTTACTAATTGCAATCTTATCTTCTATATCTGAAATTCTATCTTCACGTTGACTCATTTTGCTGCGTAAACTTTCAATGGAGTTTTTAATCTCCTGAAAACCTGTTTCCATGTGTTTTATGGATTCCATTTGTTTCCTATGTTGGGATTCCATCATGTCCTATATTTTTTGTCATTGTTGTTTTGGTACCAGGGATCAAACTGAGGACCTTGTGCTTTCAAGGCATGTGCTGGAACCACTGAGCTAAATCCCTGGCCCTTTCTCTGTTTTTTTATCTGTGTCCTCTCTAGATTTATTAATCATGTCTTGCACTATAGGCACAATCTCTGCAGTTATCTGAGAAATTATTTCTGATTTTAATTTTTCCAGATCCTCTTTTGTTGCCAGTTTAGGGCATGAAGGTGGTTGAGTATCAGTTTGTTCCATCTTGTTTCATTTTGGGGCTTCTTCAGGTGATCTGGGAGCCTCGTTTTGAGACTTGTTTAATTACCTTCTCATTTCAACAGGGGGTTGAGGCAGGGGGATATGTGTGCTGCTGGCACCTGTGCGGCTCACCTCCTCAGTCCTGGGGGCACTTCTGCTACTCAACACTGGGGGAAGTGGTATAGCAGCCCAGAACATTCACCACCTCTGTGCTGGGGCAGCTCTGCTCCTCAGCACTGGGGGTGGTGGTATGACGGCCCAGAAGGTTTACCTCCTCATTGCTGGGCACAGCTCTGCTCCTCGGCACTGGGGGTGGTGATATGGTGGCCTGGAAAGTTCATGTCCTCTGCAGTGGGGCAGCTCTGCTCTTTGGTGCTGTTATGGTGGTAGAGTATGGTGGCCCGGAAGGTTCACCTCCTCTGTGCTGGGGGCAGCTCTAGCAATGCCTTATGTAGCAAAGAATAGCATAAAAATTTCAAGGAAACAAGTAGCATCAGACCATAGATGTGTCAAAACATGATGTACAAGAAGAGTGCTATACTAGGGCCAATACAACTTTCAGGGCATGTATGGATGTCACCACACCCCCTCCAACACTGATATTAACCCATCTATTACTTTTAGTTCAATACAAATTCTACAACTTCACAATATGTATTCTTGTCAGTCTATGAAATAATAGTGTACAGTTTGATGGCTACTAAGGAATATTTAGATGCCTTGGGAGGAAATTTCATTTGAAGCCTATTTCAAATTTTTCACTTTTAACAGGAGCTCATTTCATGTCAACTCTCCATGAAGTTTCTCAGAACAAAAACAAGAAGCAAGTAATAATTCCAAGACCATAGGTGGCTTTCTAAAAGGGCATTAGTGTAATCTGTGGTAATACCTAGGTCAGTCTTTTCAAGTTGACTTCTTTTTGAACTAGCCTTCTATGATAATGACTAAAGAGAAATATGTATTGGCCTTTGTCCATTCTGTTCCTAGCTAGCAAAAATGAGAGTAAAATCTGTGCTTCCTTTTATTCTTCTTGCTCTCCTAAAGATCCAGGTTCAGGCTGGGGATGTAGCTCAGTGGTTCCCCCGCCTGCTTCACAAGTCCAAGGTCCTGAGTTTGATCCCCAGTACCAAAACAAACAAACAAAAAAATCCAGGCTCACTCTGTTGAACAAGTACAAACACATATGATGCTCTACCTCTCATTTTTTTCCCTAAACTAAGGAAAAGTGAATCTTAAAATCTAGCCACTGACTTCCTGTAATGAGATTGCTAGGAAATTAAGTTGTGCTTCCTTCAATTACATATTCCTACAATTACAATTACATAGGTTGGCAGGGAGTCTGAATTTAGCAAGGGAATCACCTGAAAAGGAGATGTTCTGGACATGAAATAACACTTGCCTTTTATGTCTTAATGGGAAATGGAGGCATGGAGTGGGTAACTGAAGGCATTTTGAACATGATTTCAAAAAAGACAACAATGAGATTTTGGAGGATTTTAACTTGCAGTAGTTTTGTACAAACTCATATAGCCTTAATTTGCATTTGTGGTATTCCCCTAAGTCACAGCATGAGGCAGAAGTAGCCTGATGTTTTTGAGGTGGGTTTCAATTCACTATTTAGTCCTTGTTCTGCCAAAAGTTTTCCCAGTGCCTTCTAGGAGATACTGCATTATATGACTGCCTTGTTTTGTGTTTGGAATGCTATTTATTTTAATTACACATTTGTTTCTGCCTTCTTATCCTCTATAGATGACCACAGTAGGGTGAAGTTAAGACCATTACCAGGAAAAGACTCTAAGCACAGCGACTACATTAATGCAAACTATGTTGATGTAAGTCAGAAAATTTTTATAAACCTATTTCTGAAAATTGAATACTGCAGCAGACACTACTGAATGTATTTTAATATCACACAGAGCTTTCACTAAAAACCCAACCTATTCAGTGTGGAAGATGCTTGAATTATTAATCATTCTTCTGTGATAACTGCATTCATCTCACTTTATGCCATGTCATCTTTGAAGGGTTACAACAAAGCAAAAGCCTACATCGCCACCCAGGGACCTTTAAAGTCTACATTTGAAGATTTCTGGAGGATGATTTGGGAACAAAATACTGGAATCATTATCATGATTACAAATCTTGTGGAGAAAGGAAGAGTAAGAGCTTCTTGACTTTCTATCTTAATAATCCACCTTCATTCACAAAATACTAAGAGTACCACCTATATAGGATAGGAATTTGATGCAGTAAGATTTGCAGGAATGAAAAGTATTTTGTCTGCTTTTATTTTGGTTGTGGTCTGCTAGGAAGGGAGCTACAGCATTTCAAGTGTGAATTAAATGTGATGGTAGAGATGTATGTGACTCTCAGAGTGACAGTATTAAAGGGCTAATATTTTGAGGTGAGACTCTGACAATGAAGAGAAGGAATTAAACAAGCAGGACGAGGAGGGAAGGACATTCTGCCTATAGGGAACAGAAAGATCAAGAAGCAGAGACGTTTAGAAGATCCATGGTATAGTAAAGAAATTACTTATAGTAGTTTAGTAAAAGCAGAGAATACTTGAAACACCTGGACAAATAATGGCAAAACTTGTAGAGCTTTCAGTGATCCAAATAGTACATTGTGCATATGTGCCTTAGGTTCACCACCACTGACCTAGACTGTGCTTAAGATCTTTGTAAGAAATAATGATTACTGTTACAGAATGTATTAGACTTGAGCTTATATTAGGCAGTGCTGGTGTAGGCTGGAGTAGAAGCTAAGCCTCAAGTTCATTGCTCTAAATCTATACTGCTTTACTTGAAATGTGGAGTCCTTACTTTGGTTTTGGTGACCCAAGTTGTAACAGAGATTCCCAATTACAGAAGACCCGCAGAAATCCAGCCAGGCCTCCCAAAGGATATTTAAACTGCCTTTAGAACATATCCTACTCACCTTTCATACAGGTTTCTTTCAAGGACACCATATAACTGAAAGATCCTAAACATGAGGTCCATTTCTCAGATGATCTTGCCCAAACTCCCCCCACCATGAAGTCCTTCAGAGTTCACAACTGCCCATGCATTTCTTTCTCAGTCAAATAAGTGACCATCTTGTGGTTTAACTTTATCATTTGGAATTTATAACTTTTCTTTTTGCAGAGAAAATGTGATCAGTATTGGCCAACAGAGAATAGTGAGGAATATGGAAACATTATTGTCACACTGAAGAGCACAAAAGTACATGCCTGCTATACTGTTCGTCGTTTTTCAATCAGAAATACAAAAGTGAAGAAGGTACTGAGGGAGCTGGGTGGGCCACTGGGGCAGGTGTTTTATACATGTATGAAAATTACTATATACGACTAAGGCTAAATATCATAATTTCACGACTCTCTTGACTGCTCACACTGCATGGTGTGAAAGGTATGTATGGGCAGAGCACATAATAGAACTTCATTGGCCTGAGTTCTGTAATTGCTTCAAGAATAACTCATTTCCAAAAAAGAAAAAAAAAATGCATCCTCTGATGTTTTGGTAACACTCAGCAAATATAGCAGCATCTGTTTGCTTATTTAGCTTTTTAATTTCAATTTTCTCACAGTTTTCAAGTATTGTTTCCCACAGAGTATTTCATGGAATACTAGTGCTACAAGATACTTATAAAAGTCCGGCTATCCAATAAGAATGGGAACTGAATGCTACATAATATATATTCTCTGTTAGAGATTCATAGTGAACATGGGTGTCCAGAGTGTCAGAGTTATGAAACTTGTATTTGTTCTTCTAGTATTCTCTAACATGACTTAACCATAAAGTGGTTTTTTTCTTTTTTCTTTTTTTTTTGGTACCAGGGATTGAACTCGGGTCCTTCCACTTGCAAGCCAGGTGGCAGAACCACTGAGCTAAATCCCTGGCCCAACCATAAAATCTTTACTCCAGGCATGGCAGTACATGTAATCCCAGCATTCTGCAAGCCATAGGCAGGATGACTGCAAGCTCAAGCCCAGCCTGAGCAAATTACTGAATAAAATAATCAAAAAGGGTTAGAGTTGTAGCTCCATCTAAAGACTGTGCGTTCACTCCTTAATAGTACGATAAGACAAAACAAAATTTCATGAAGTGAATGAACAAAAACACACCTCTATACAACTAGTAATATCTTGAGAACCACACTGTATAGAAATACTTCTTTCAAATTATCCCAACTTTTCCTTTATTATTTTTCAAATTCCACTGTCATAACAGAAAACATAGATCGTCACAGCAATATCCGAACTCTACATAAATGCAAAGAAAAAAATGTGATTGATCTACAGAGAGTTAGATATGGCTGTGTTCAGGGACCAGAGAATCTACAGCTAAACCCTAAGTTCTGCTTTTTCTCTGCAGTGTTTCAGTGTTAAGTATGTGCAGCAAAAATGCACCACTCTTGTTGGGCTGCTGACCTTCTATCCAGCCTGTCTCTTTGGCCTGGGCACATCTACCACCTCTACCACTGTAACACTTGCGTGCCACGTATTGCTCTTTAAAGTGACATCTTTTAGATATTTGGTGGTGGTTTAGATACGGATGCCCTTGATAGCTTGAGCAGTTTCACAGGTGTGCTTAGGGTGAATATGGAAATCTGAACCTCTTGATTTGCATGATTTTGTGGGGGTTTCTGGGTTAAGAGTAGCAAATCATTTTCACAGAGCACCTCAGACAACTTACAAGGAAGAGCTATCAGGGGACATTTTTCATGTCAACTAGCTAAAATATAAAAAGGTCAGTCCTCTAAAGGAAAACTACTCTGAAAAAAATTATTTATGAAACTGACAGATAAATAGATGTTGATTCTGGTGATGGAGTCTCATCCAGCACTTAGGATCTTCCTAAGTGAAAGAGAGTACAGAGCAGCAGCTACCCTCCCTTCCTGATCCTGAAGGTGTCCAGCTTGTATGGTGGAGAAGGAAAGGGAATCCTAGCCCACAGGCAGATAAAAGCAGAGCACCAAGTCGTTGGAAAGTCAGGAAGTGGAGGCCCTGTACGCAAACCACAAAGTGCTCCCAATGGCCCTAAGTCCAAAAGACCAGTATTAAATGTCCATCCTTGATAAAATCTAATCTTCTAAGAGATCACGATGCTTTACATCCAGCTAGACATGAATGTTAACCACAAATGACAAGAATGTTGGCTGCAAAGAGTAAATAAGCTAGCCCAGGAGCAGCAGTTGGGATCCTGAGATCAGAGGTCTTGTTTCCTAAGCCCTTACATTGCTTTTACTAGAATGTTCACCCTCAGATTAAAGATGTCTTTTTACACCCCTCTCCTAGGGCCAGAAGGGAAATCCCAAGGGCCGTCAGAATGAACGAATAGTGATCCAGTACCACTACACGCAGTGGCCTGACATGGGAGTCCCCGAGTATGCCCTCCCGGTCCTAACCTTCGTGAGGAGATCCTCAGCCACCCGGACACCAGACATGGGGCCTGTGCTGGTGCACTGCAGGTAAGGCTGGCACCCTCGTTATTCTGCCAGAGATTGGACCTTGTGAACTCGGACCCCAGGAACTCTGTTCCCACTTGGCTTGACTTGGAGGGCAAGTCCTCCTCTGAAAACCGGGATAAATAAACTTGCGACAGTCTTATAAAGTCATCTTTTTAATAAAATCCCTGTTGTGTGTAGGGTAATTGTAGGCTGATCCTAATAAATAAACATAAGAACTTCTAAATGAGTTTTCAACACCAGAGATTCTGTGTTTTTGTGCATGGCTTTTCTGAAGTGCTTCTCCAAAGTATAATAATGGATAGTACACATGAAAGGATTTTTAAAAAATTTCTAGCTTATACATACCATATATAACGCCTTTTGAAAAAACACTGGGAAAGCCTGGTGTAAAGCCTACTTCCCCTCAACTAAAACAACTTTACATGATTGTGTGAAAGTGCTCTGATTATTCTATCATTGATGTTGCAGTACTACATAGCATTTTCTAAGCATTTCTTTTGGGCTTTTCTTGTACTATGCTTTCACCTAACAAGCCTTTACACAACCTGGAACACATCTTTTACTTAGAATCCCATAAGAATTCTACTTTTTCACTAATACATTTAACAAGCACTGAGGGGAGATAAGCTATCACAGAGCCTGCCTCTTGGGCTAGAGGGAGAACCTTCTGGGGCATTCTGCCAAAACACATGTACAGAATTCAGATCTATCTGGATATTTTTTAAATAACAACTAAAGAATATGGAATAAGAAGCCAAGTTTTCTGGGTGTACCATTCTCATGCCAAGTTTATGAAAGTAAAATACCGCTTAAAATAGGAACTTTCTAATACTGAAAACAACAGTTTCTTAGCTGCATGCAACAGAAGCAGACTGAGCAAGTAGTAGAGCAAAAGGGTTTGTTGAGAAACCAAGTACGAGCCTGAACAGGAAGGAGGCCTGGTTCTTGCATGGGGATGGCTGCTGCCACAGACACCTCTGGGGCCCTGGATCATGGATTGCATGCCAAGGAGGCTGAGAAGTCAAGGAGACATCTGTCTTCCCACTCCTGCAGCATTTAAGCACTCTGGCTCCTTATCAAACTCATGAAGCTTATCTGGGTGAACACCCTATGTCATTTATACTAGGTTATCTAGACATCACCATTCCTTCTGGGTTCCTTATGCATTTATATTGTAATTTTTCCAGTCCATGGTTTAACAGTACTCCCTGAGTGCCTTTCTCTCTTTCAGTGCTGGTGTGGGCAGGACGGGCACTTACATTGTGATAGACAGCATGCTACAACAGATAAAAGACAAAAGCACAGTTAATGTCCTGGGATTCCTCAAGCATATCAGGACACAGCGCAACTACCTCGTCCAGACAGAGGTAAGGACTGGTCCTCATGAGGTGCCAGCACACACTTGCCCTGAAGGGTGAGTGATGCTGAGGGAAACAGATTCATTCTCAGAATTTGAAGGAATGGATGGGTTGTGGAGTAAAAGATATCCTGACCATGATTCTGTTTTAGATCAGTTTCCCATTTCTGTTTGAATCTTAGCATTTGGATTGCTGGGTAACTACATAGAATTTATGTATCAGATACATTTGCATTAACTATTATGCAGAGCTAGATATGTTTTCTGGTCTCAGAAACACACAAGAGGAACACTGTTCCTGGCACAATGTGGAATACAGAGGAAACTTAGCAGTCACTACCCTAAAACAGATCAGGATAGGATGGCTAGGCAAGTGAATACTGAGGCAAACCTCCAACTGCTAATGCTTGTAGGAATTCACTGGGAGGTCCCAGTTGGTAGACTTCGTGGACTGTCAGCTCCCTTTGAACAGCTCTCCCTGGAGATTCCCAATTCTTATACCTTTAGGAGCAGTATATTTTCATCCACGATGCCTTGCTGGAGGCCATTCTTGGGAATGAAACTGAAGTATCTTCAAATCAGCTGCATAGCTACGTTAACAGCATCCTTATACCTGGAGTAGGAGGAAAGACACGACTGGAGAAACAATTCAAGGTAGTGCTTTGAGAAATTTCTCTAGCATAAAGCAAGATAGTAGAAAAATGTCCTCAACTTTGGCATCTTAATAACACTAATGTACAGCTTGAAATGGACTTCTGTTTGTATTCCTTCTCATTATATTTAAGGAGTACAAAGCCACTCCCCGCAGTGTTACTGTTACCATTCAAGTAGAGAGTACCATGCTATTTCTTATTCTGAGCACTTTATGACTTAAGCTGAACATTAACATCATCCTCTATCCACAATAACATAAGACTTTGAATTAGGGCTGGTCAAAAAAAGAATTCTCAGGCTGGGGATGTAGCTCAGTGGTTCCCTGCCTGCCTCACAAGCGCAAGGTCCTGCTTTCAATCCCCGGTACCAAAAACAAAAACAACAACAAAAGAAGAATTCACATTTTTCTGAACTATTGGATGATACTTTTGTTAAGAAGGGTTATTGGTAGACAGGCTGTCCACAAAATAATGCCTGTTTGAAAAACTATTCCAGAACATCATTTGAAACCCCCCCAAAAGCTACCAAATCTAACAATAGTATAGGAGAGTTAACTTTTCCTAAAATACTTACTCTTTTTCTTTGGTAGGGGCATGAAGTTCAAAGGCAGTTAAGGTTCACATGGATTACCTGAGGTGACGGTGTAACAGACACTGTAAGGACTATTAAAGTAATTAAGACCAGAAAAGCTCAAAGATTAAGTGTAACCTTCAAATGGTGTCTTTCCGATTTCTAAGTGCTTTCTTATTCATTAGTTTTTCATTATATTTTCAATTTTTTTGCATATTGTTTATATGTGGGTAATTCCCCATTTTGTGTCAAGATTGAAAGGAAGAGAAAAATCAGTGCTCTTTGACTTTTCATGGTAAAGCTTCCCATAGAGTCTGAGACTTCCACTTCAATCTCAACTAAAGAAATGAGCCTGCTAAGCAAATTACACCAAAGGATATGAAATGAAAAAGAGAATAATTTCACTGAGTTTAATCCTAAGCATAATTTGAAATGTCTGGCTCTCCTCTTAACATCCTAGCTACAATAAAACCATTGGAGATAATAATGACACACTATATCATTTTAAATATTAAGTGGCAACATTTCTTAAATTCTGCCCTTTATTCCATTTCTGTGGCATAGATTCAACCTAAATTTCTGGAGTCTCGGGATTTCACCATGAAAAATAAAATGTCATCGAATATCTCATTTTTTTTCCATCTTGAAAAAATATTTACACAGAAAATGATGTGCAAAAAAAGGAATTTAATGGACTAACAATGCCCCAAATTCCCAAACTTTGAGTGTCAACATCATGCCACAGAATATTCCACACCATGAAACTTTATTTCATGCAGAAAATTATCAAACATGTGTGTAAGATTATCTTTGGGCTATTTATATATGAAACATAAATTTCATGTCTCGACTTGATTTCCGTCCCCCAGGCAGAACATGTATGCAAATATTTCGACCTCCCAAAGAATCTTGACACTCTGCTGGTCCCAAGCATTTCAGATAAGGGATATTCAACCTGTTTGTTTCTGTTTATAAACACAGTTCTTTAAAAGTAGAAACATCCATTGAATAAATCAGACCGTGCACTTAGTAACACAATAACTGACTCTCTTACGAGCACTAAACATTTCACAATTCAAATAAAAGAAAAAAATCAAAGTCAAAGATGAAAATTACTTCCAAGGCCATGACAATAGCAATAAAGCTCACTATTCCTATATAATTGCATTGAGATAGACTTCCCCCTACCCATCACCACCAAAAAACTGTATTCACAAAATGTTTCCGCCACACTACGTACATATAGGAAAATAACCCCATTATTGGGCTGATCATTCATGATGGCTTTAGAAGAATGATGGCAAACCTTTTAGAGCTTTCAGGGATGCAGCTCACTTGCCATAGGTTCACCACCACTGCCTCAGCAGAATCTCAGTTAAACAGAAAAGTACTACAAACATATTAAGTTGTTCTTTATCTTCTAGGAACATCACTAACTTCTAATACTATTAAATGGTCTTCTAATGGAGGCACACTAGCATCTTATGTGCCATTCAGGAATTACAGACAAAATTCACAATAGCAGTATATAAGCTGCAACAGAGAAAGCCACATAGTTGAGTCAACACTGCACACCCAGTGCCGGTGTTCCAGGAGCCTAGCACCTGACAGGACACAGCCAAGATCCCTAGCACAAGTGCCACTAGTGAGTCACAAGAGCCTTCTTTGGCATCCACAAAAAAATGTGTTTGTTTGGTAATAATCTGATTGTTGGTATTGTTCCAAATTGTGAAAACAGGTGCTATCAATTATGACCTTGAATGAAGACTGAAATGTCACTTTTCTTTTAGCTTGTCACGCAGTGTAATGCAAAATACGTGGAATGCTTCAGTGCTCAGAAAGAGTGTAACAAAGAAAAGAACAGAAACTCTTCAGTCGTGCCATGTAAGAGCGTACAATCAGTCTGACAGGGTTCTTCAGTGTATTAATAGGCTGTAAACTGGCTTTTTTGTATTATGTAAAGAGGCAGCAACTACCAAAGGGACAACGTTATGTTTAGTGCAGCTAAGGGAGTCTGAGGCAAGTGGAAGGGGGGGGGCGGCTCCTGGTGCTAGTGAGTCACGGTCTCTATATGACCTGAAATCTAGCTTCAGTTCATCTCAACACGCAAGAATGAGGTTATGTCTGCTGTATTTCAACTTAAAAATAATACCAAAGTTGCCATCGCTGTGGCATGACCACTGCTTTAGAATTTACCTAGATTAATCTGTATAACTGGTACTGCATCCCTGAATTATTCGGACTATGAAACCTATGCACTGTTGACTGGGGGTGCAGAGGACATGTGGGTAGGCACTGCAGACACAGGCATGGATGAGCACTGCAGGGATGTATCACTCCTGAGAAAGGTCACTGTTTTCTAAGAACTTCATGGGGAGAAAGACAGGGATAAAGGGTTGGAAAACAGCAAAGGACAACATATTGGTGTTGAGTGTAAGAATATCAAACCTCACATATCTGACAGTGCTGTACAGTGTTCTCTCAGTGATTTGCTATGAAAACCTCTCCCATAGTAACATTTCATTTTTATACTCCCTGTGTCCTGGATTTGCACAGCAGAATTCCATGTTATACACTGCCTTAGCTGGTAACACTTTAGCACTTTGCTTAAACATACTGTATAGGTGAGTCTTAGGACAGAGAGCCAGGGACACGTGTTAGTCACTAAGTAAGTCTTGGAAAGGGTGGCTGGTTCCTTTGTATAATAAGGTGAATGTACTGTTGTTTTTTCCACGTGATAGCTGAGCGAGCTCGAGTGGGTCTTGCACCTTTGCCTGGAATGAAAGGAACAGATTACATTAATGCTTCTTACATCATGGTGAGAGTCAACCATTAATCATAAATAAAGCCAATTAAACTGAAAGGTGTTAAAGAGCAGATATCACCTATGTGGGTGGCTGATTTTACTTCTGAAATAATTTCTCAAAGTGTAATATTGAAAGTATAGAGATTTCTGTATTTTCAAACTTTTCACAAAAGATTCCTGAAGGATAGGAGTATAAAAATGCCTAAATGAAGCAAAATGCTTAAGGAATTAATTTTATTGTTAGTTTCACCCATCTAGCCTTTGAATCCATGTTGAAATTACTGTTAAGAAAAAAAGCAGGGGTGACTTGAAGTAGAACTGCATGTAGAGAGAAAACTGTCTGCCCAGTGTTAGCAAGAGAACAGCTAAAACTTAGCCATATGTACTGAATGCCTTTCTCAGTTCTTTTAGTGTGGTCAAAACAATGCTGTCTTGTTTCATAAATTTATTTTGCTACCACAAAGTTAGAATAAAATATGCACAATTGCTGATTTTTTCTCTTTCCAACTGAAGGGATATTACAGGAGCAATGAATTTATTATAACCCAGCATCCTCTGCCACATACTACGAAAGATTTCTGGCGAATGATTTGGGATCATAATGCACAGATCATTGTCATGCTGCCAGACAACCAGAGCCTGGTGAGTAAGGCACAACTGCTATATATTAATGAGCCCTTGAGGCTTGGCACATGGTTGACCTGGGCATGCTGCTACAGGTCTGAGTTTGTGGGGCTCGGAGGGGATGGACCCTCCAAGACTGTACAGATTCACTTCCTACAAGTCCAGTACTGTCCCTGCCTGTTCTAGTACCTGAATATCAGGGGTGTTCATATTATTACCCTTCAACTGTACTTCATTGGGCATTGTGGTAGAAGGTTTTGAAAAAGTTTCTTTTAAGTGACAGATGTCCTCTCTGCCGTATGTCATTTGGGACACACATAATTAACTCCTCACAGGAACTATGACTATCTCATTTAGTAGCTGAGAAAACTGAGGGAACTTGCCCAAGAGCACTCAGAAACCACTGGAGCCAGGATGTGGCCAAAGTCATCTGTCTCCAGTGTCGGAAGCAATTCTACATGATTTTGGGGAAAAATTATTTCACAATTAAATTATGATTAGGGCCTAGTTTTCCCACCTGCAGGCCAGCTATGCCATGTGGAGACATAACTCCATCTTTGCCTCTGGTCACAGCTAAAACCTCCATGGTTCAGTGATGCTGTGATGCTGCAGGGCAAGATTAAACCAGCTGGAGACATCCTGGGGAGAAACCCAATCTTCATCTGTATAGTTCCTCATTGTGCTAGGATTTTCAGCTGCTGCCCTCTGAGCCACCTGTTACATTTGTTACTTGCCGCATACTGAACCAAATAAAGGTGTGGCAAACTCGGGGTCTTTCCTCTTTGCTGCCCAGAGCAGCACTGATCAGGCCCAAAGCTCAGCTTCCTCTCCAATTCTCATAAATTAATTCGCCTTGTGCTGTCGTGGCTCACAGGAGACTAGGACTTGCTGCAGAGGTTCTTGTAACATCCCCTTTCCCTGCTCCCTGCACTCCTGGGCCCACACTTTTAATCACTGTACTAGAAATGTCCCACTGCACATCATAGGAATGTTGTTCAGAAAAAAATACTGTATCAGAAGTACTAATCATGTTGCATTATTTTTTTCCTACTCCATAGTCAAGCCAGACACACTGTAGGCAAGAAACAGGAAAGACTGTTGGGAGTATAACCTATAGATCCTCTGTAAGACTTTGCCTAAACTACTATGTCTTTCCCCTGACTTAGTCCTTCTCTACACTATGTAGGAACCTATGAGCAAGTTTATGAAACAGGCTTGAATAAATTGCATGCATCCTTAAATTTGAGAATTATCTAGGTCTTGAAAAATTACTATGTGGACATGTGATCCTGTAAGATAAAAGCAAAAAACAATGAGAATCTGCCTCCATGAGTTGTCAGAGTAATGAGTATTTTAGTCACAAAAAGAAGAGCACATGATTGAAAGCCTAGTCTGGATGACATGCATTTGACTGTGTGCCCAGTCAGTAGGAACTTCTTCACTTTGTGGCATTCTGCTCCAGCTTCAGAATACCAAGGCTGCTTCTGTATGATGGAATGGCAACAGAGTTCAGAATTTTAAGCTAAATGCTGGAGTGCAGATTTTCAAATTAGTGGGCAACAGGGTTTTGTTCTCTTTGGCCTTTGGACACTGGAGGCATTTAGGGTTGTTACTGTTTCCTAACCTCAGAGGATAATCCCCATAAAGGATCTACCAAGAAGCTCATTTCTATGGAAAACGCTAGAGGGAGACTCAGGGTACATATTCTACAGACAGTGAGGATACAAGAACTGCCATCAAACATGTTGTCCCAGTGTCTGAAGCAAGGCTAGATTCATGTAAGTCTGCGCTCTCAGCTCCCAGATGAAGTTTCACCATTGCAGTTTTTCCTCTAGATTATTATCATACTGTATATTATGACAATAACTGTGTGAGACTATACATCTATACAGACAGGCCAAAATTCATTGGTTCCTAACTCCAGAAAACATACTTCTCAGTGCCTCCACACTTTTGATACACAAATACATTTCTCAGCAAAATGACCATAAGACATGAATGCCTACTGAATTAATAAGTAGCATTTAATTTTTTTGCACCTTCAGGATGAATAATGATTTCCTAGTTCAATTTCTGTATTCAAAAGGCTTCTGCTTTTTCTTTTCACCGTAATTAAAATCTGTTTGGTATCTTTTAAACTAATAAAATAATTTCCTAGTCAGTGTTAACATTCTAATGTCTATATGTAGTACAAAGATTTATTATTCCCACTTTTAAAATATGGAAAATAAGGCTCAGAAAGATTAACTAATTTACCCAGAATCACATCCAATCCTAACCCTATGCTTAATTTGTACATAATTGGTTAAATAGATGCTGTGTGCCACCATTACTTTGTATCTTGAATTATCTGTTTATGGGGCCATACTTCATTTGTTTGAACAAATGTATTAAAATCTAAAGAGTTACAGATTTTTGTATAGACCAAACCCGGCTTTTAATCTGTTTTCCTTTATGCTGAGCTTTAAATTTATAAATGTACTTGGCAGTAAGCTATATTGAAACTTGAAAGGATGTTAAGTCTTACTGGATTGTTGGCTCATTTCTAATGCAACAGTGTAAGATTAAACAGAGCCTTTTTTGTTTTGAACACAAACTTCAATGATAGTAGCTAGGAATTTTCAGGAGAATGACTATAAAAATCTACATCCTACAGGCAAAGTAAGTTTGTCATTTCAACTGATTAGAAAAATGGGAGGGGTGTACAGAATCATTATCATATTTCTCACTGTCTCCAACCTATGTGGCAATTAACTTTTTCTTAGGCATCTGTAGTTTTCTGGGATAGAACTCAAGTACCAATCCCGAGTATCTATTTGTTATCTTAAAATAGATGAACATGTAAACCATGCCTCATTCAAAGCTCAAAGTTTTTTTTTTTTGTACCTGGGATTGAACTCCAGACCTTGCGCTTGTGAGCCAGGCAGGAGAACCACTGAGCTAAATTCCCGGCCCCAGAAAGGTGTTTTGTTGTCCTCTCCTGAAATCTGAGACAGACAGGTTAACTTTTCTTTTAATGAACACCTTATGCATAACTTCTTTCCAAAAAGGCTTTCCTTTGTCATTTTTAGCAGTATGATTTTAAACAATTTGGACATCCCCAAGAATGTCACGTATAAAGCCAGATGATAAAAATCCCTTACTGAGGGACCAATATTCAAAACTTAACACTCAGTAGTAGAAAAATGAACTCCAATAAGAAATGAGCAAGAGACCCACACAGATATATCTCCAAATAAGATATAAAATGACCAGCAGATATATGAAAAGATGCTCAATATTATTAATTATCTGGGAAATCAAAATCCCTGTGATTTACTGCTTCATATTAGGATGTGTATTATCAAGAAATCAAATGACAAAGTTGGCGAAGGTGTGGAGAAAAGGGAACTCACACTGTCAGTGGGACTGTAGATTGCCATCATTATGGAAGAGCATCTGGAGATTTCTAATGAAATTAAAAGTAGGACTACCAGGACTTGTGATGCAGCTCAGTGGCAGAGTGCTTGCCTACCACGCACAAGGCTCTGGCTTCAACCCACAGTACTGAAAAAAGAAATTATCATGTAGCCACAGAAAATGAAGTCACTACCATCTAAAGCTGTCTGTCTGAATGTCCATGTTGACTGCAGTATTATTCACAATAGCCAAAATAGAGAAACAACCTGTCTGCCACTGGACAAACAGGCAAAGACACTGTGATAAACACAAGGATATATTATTCCTTGTACCTTCCACAGTGTGGATGACCTTGGAGAACATTATACTAAGTAAAACAAGGCAGACACTAGAAGACAAATACTGCATGATCTCACCAATGGAAAAAAAAAGATTCAAATGTGTAAAGAGAACAAAATAGTAGTTATGGGATGGGGAGAGAAATGGGAAGATGTAAATGAAAAGATACAAAGTAGCAGATATGTAGGATGGACAAGTCTAGAGAGCTAATGTATAACATGAAGAGTATGGGTAATAAAATTATGATATGTTTGGAATTTATGCTGGGTATTGTTCTTGCCATGAAAAAAATGTAAGATGGTACATAGGCCAATTTGTTTTACTACAGGAATGCTTTTACTGTGTGTGTGTGTGTGTGTGTGTGTGTAGTACATCATGCTGTATACTTTCTATACAATAAAAAAAATTTTTAAACCATCCTTACTAATGTATTATAAAATTCCAGGAAGGTAATGTTTATGAAGGTCCTTTGCAAAATGATATTCAACTATATAATTGTTACTAATATAATCCATAGGAATAATAGTTATGTCTTGGTTGCTTAAACAAACATGAAGTATTAAAATTAACTGATGTAGATCTCATCTCCATTTTTACTATGCTACTTACTGTGCAGAACACTTACCACCTGGCAGTAATACATCCCTACAGAGCCAGTGCTAGGGTTCTTACATTGACTGGTGAGAAGTGCTAGGAAATGGATATTGTCAAAATATTTTTTACAGTAGGATAGAATAACCACTGAGCTCAGCATGACTAGATGGGGATATAATTCTACAAACTCTATTTAAAAGATGACTTGAGAGGTATGGAAAATGGCAGAATAAGGAATTGTTTCAAGAAAATTCAAAAATTTATTTTTGGTTCTCAAAGGCAGAAGATGAGTTTGTCTATTGGCCAAGTCGAGAAGAATCCATGAACTGTGAGGCTTTTACTGTCACCCTTATCAGCAAAGACAGACTGTGCCTCTCTAATGAAGAACAAATTATCATCCATGACTTTATCCTTGAAGCAACACAGGTAACCTGAGTCTCACTTTCTCTCTAATAGCCATACCGGGGCCCTGAATCATCCTTTTAAGTAATAATGAAGTAATTTACTACCCTCAAGGGGCCCAGTTATTTGAGTAAGACTTCATTTTAAATATCTGTGTTTCCCCTTCTTTCTTCAAATATTTGCTTTTTCCAGCTGGCAAGATGAAAGGTAACTGTTCCTCTGATTCAGCATGCATATAAATAGGTCTATTGACCTAATTATAAAAACAGTACACTACACCTGAATATTGTCTTTGCCATCAGAAATGTAAACCTTGCAATATGTTGCAGAGATGAATACTACTAAGGGTTTATTTTAATGAACAATATTTTAATGTCTAATAACTGCCTTCTTGTGTGAATGAGAAAATATCTCATAGTACTAGTTTAAATGACAAAGTAATATTATACTGTTTCACTGGTATGACTTACTCATTTTCCTGATAACAGGCAGAACTTCCTTATAGTTTTCTTCTCACCAGTGGTTTGCTTAACCTCAAATTCTTCAGAGTTGTCTATAATATATGCTTTCTAAGTTGCAAGTTCCATTCATCTGACTGTAGACATAGGACATAAAAGATGAGCTGTGACTCATGTTGTGTTGGTTATAGGATGACTATGTCCTAGAAGTCCGGCACTTTCAGTGTCCCAAATGGCCTAATCCAGATGCCCCCATAAGCAGTACCTTTGAACTGATCAATGTCATCAAGGAAGAGGCCTTAACACGGGATGGTCCCACCATTGTTCATGATGAGTATGTATCTTTTCTTCTTAAAACTCAGACATTGCTTTTGTTGAACTGCTATGAAAGTGAAGACAGAATTTAAAAACCTACTCTGTTAACTTGTGATAAATTCATGTTATTTCTAATGTATAGGTGTGAAAAATGTGGATTTCTGTGTACTTTGTGGGGGGGATATAGAGGTGTTGAGAGGGGCTCTCCATCCTCCTGCCTCAGCCTCTTGAGTGCTGGGATTACAAGCATGCTCCACGGCTATGCATACTTTTTGCAGTTTTATATTTCAATAACAAAGTAATTGATTTGATTATTTACCTTATTTAAATGCATTTATTTTAAAATCCTCATACTGAATTTCAGAAAACAATGGTTATGGAAAGAACCTTTAAAAAATATAGTTTAGTTGATTAGTAAGAGTGCAGTTACTATTAATAAGAATGTTTACATTTTATAATAGAGTTTGAAGTTTAAAATACTGTCTTTTGGTATTGAAAGGTAAAGAATATGAATCTCACATAGAACAAATTACTTATGCTTGATCTCAGAGCTTCTAGGTGTCAGAATGGTATTCAAACACAGCCTCTTGGGCTGGGGATGTAAATCAGTGGTAGAGTGCCTGCCTAGTGTGTACAAGTCTCTGGGTTCAATCCTCAGCAATCAAAACAAAACAAGGACAAAACCAGCCTATTTCCACTTTAAAAAGAAGGAAAGGGTCATTGGTATACCTTGCAGTGTATGGATATGTAAGTCAAACTTCATGGCTGGGATCAAATTGGAAGTCACTTGTAAAGCCCTGGATCATTTAGAATCACATAAACCCTTAGCCAGTATAACATTGCTTATACATGTTTATTTCTATTATCGAATTTAGCTCCCTGGGTCACCAAATTATCAATGTGTCTATTATGTTCATTAAATTACCAGCTCTTCTAGTGCCACAAGATAATAATAAACTGGAAAGTAAACTTTACTGTTAAGTCTTTTATTTTCCATGAACTAATGCTGTAACATGAAGTACACGTAGACATTTAACCCAGGTCAGACCTTATGTAGTACCTTCCTAATTGTATTTTATCAATTTTATCACCCATAATCCTGGCTGCTTCCAAAGAGTTTTATGGTCTTCCCTAGGAAATAATGACTTTCAAAATATTGGCCTACTAGATTAAAAATTAAGACTAGGAAAACATGTAGTTAAATAGTATGCTAAGATTTAATTCTTTTAAGTGTAACAACCACCAACAGTGTTTAAAGTGGTCAGTTGCTATCAGTCAGTGAAACTTTATATTACAGTTAAAGCATAAAGTTAGGGATGCTTCTAGAGCTTTCCCCACTAAACTACATTACCTTTTCAAATGCCATCTGGGATTTGCCAGCATAATGCTGGACAAATCCTAAATTGCTGCCCATTCTGCAACTGATTTCACTGTCGTAGTAGTATGGCAAAGAATTTTGTCCTAAAGTCAGAAATGATCTGGGGCACATTCCTGTCATCCCACCCAGCACTCTGGAATGCTGAGGCATGAGGGTCATGTGTCCAAGCACAGTCTGAGTAATTTACAGTGTCTTAGCAAGACCTTGTCTCAACATAATAAAAAAGGTTAGCAGATGTAGCTCAGTGCAAATTTTGGGTCCTAGATTGAAATCTCCAGTTACATACACACACGGCAAATCTAAAGTCAGAAAAGTAGTGAAATATTCTATTTCATGGTAAGAGGGGAAAAAAACAACAGTGAAACACTAGACCAAACTGTTTGATTTCTTATCTGTGTTCACCTTTTGAATATGTCACCTCTGGAATTAATCAAATGTAAATCATTCTTTAGCCTAAATATACAGAGCAAATGAAGAACAAACCACTTCATCTACAGATGACATATAGGTAGGCTGAGTTAAAAGCCACCCTTAAAATATGTTAATTCACTTACCTACCACCTATGGGGAATAAGTTGATTTCCTAGAAATTATTTTTTCCACATTGCTCAAGGGCATATTTAGCAGCTACAGGCTCTAAAACGATCCCTTGACACCAGTTAACTTTGCAGTTTCCATCTTACCTACTTTTGGTACCTCTGTTCATCTCTTTCTGGTAACCTACATGTACCGCAAATTCTGCATCACCAAACCTATGATCTACCCTGCCTGCTTCCATCCACTTTGTTGTACTACCCAGAAACACATCAGAGTCCTTTTTAAGTCTTCCTCACCTCCACATTTAACTGGCATCACTTCTCATTGCTGCTGTCCATTCTTTCAGTATATGTTTCAAATTCTTTGACAGTCTGGTTTAGGTTTATTTTTTCAGCTATCATCCCGGTCCTCCAATAAAGTACTACCTACAGACCACCTGGCTCCTGCAAATGCCATTTTCTCTAACACTCAGTTTCGTTAAACACCCAGTTCAAAAGTCTCTCTTTGAGACCATCTCTGACTCATCCCACATATGCTAATTAAAGTCATTAACAAACACACTTACCAGTCCACACCAGCTAAATGTCATCCATAATGAATGTCACAACAGAACTGTTTGCCATATACATGACTCTCTCTCCTCTATTCCCAAGGCCAGCAATGGTGACTTATTCTTCCCAGTCTCCAATGCCTAGGAGATACTGGGTCCTGGATAAGTATTTGCATGAACAGGCGGTGCTGTGCTTTCAATGATGACTTAGGAACTGTGCAGGGTATCTACCTCTATGTGAACTGTCCCCAGAGCCTTACTTCTGGTCTCATTTACTGTTCACTTATTTTTCCTGCACAAATTCCTCTGTGAACTATAAAAACAATTCACAATGTGTTT